ATTTCTGGGCTACGAATGCTGCAATTTCAGGAGCTTTCCCAAATTTTCCCTTACAATTAAACTGGAAGATTCTATGGATACTGTTTGATCGTTGATTTGGGAATTGGTTGCAGAAGGGGCTGTGGGCAAGGATTGGTTTGTTGGAACCGTTACTTGGTAAAAGGTGTTGGATGGGGCTTTGGTTCCGGGGGGAGTTAAAATGAAAGTAGAAGTGCAAAGGGGCGGTAAAATCTCTGTTAGGTTGTTTCAAAATTTTGAGGCCACTGCATTTAAAATGTATGCAGCCACATATGTGGCACCAGACACTGGCTTGGTTTCTACTAATGTTTAGGTTGAAGGGTGAACAATTGTAGGGACTGGGGTTAGGGTTAATGCCGAATCTTAGTAGTAGGGTGAGTATGAGCAGACGGAGCAGCCTGGCCGGTTCCAGACGCTCGGTAACCGAAAACCCGAAGACTTTTGAGCTTTTCCCGAACCATGGGAGGGGGAGCTTGACGCCATTTGCAAGCTGCCAAGCCAGGATAACGGGTCCACCACTTGAAGTCGGCGTCGTCTGGACCGTCGTGATTCAGATTCGTTCATTAGGCGAGCTGGACTGGCCCTCACACCGGAAAACGCCTCCTTGTAAGCCCATCGAAATCATTAGCCTATCGAACTTGATGTTTAAGTGGGAATCGCTTTCTTGTTCTTCTCCTGCTTCGGGCTAGGAGTGAAATCCGTGTCAGATTGTCCATCAGCTTGTAGCGATATCTTGCGTTCATCATAAAACGTCTTTAATCTCATTTTTGTTTTTGAACTGAAATGTTCTTTACTGGGACTTATGCTCGACATCATCGCGTTCTTACTTTGCTTGGCTAGAGAGAATTGTTCCTTTCTTCGAATATCGCTCTTGGTATCCGACTTATACGTTCCATTGAATGACTGTTCCTCTCCTGCATTAGCCTCGGAATGCTCCGAGGTCTTATCAGATACTTCAATTCTTTCCCGCTCGGAGTCGTCAACAGATCTTTCTAGATCGTCATGATGGTGGCGGTCGGGTCGGATTAACGTTTGTTCGCCTCCGTCGAAGAAATCGGGTGGGATTACGTTTGCCATCTCGGCATCGGCGTTTCCCCCTTCATCACCATCTAGATTTTTTTCGCTTCTTACATTCATTCCGATCACTAAACGATCACCGCGACTTTGACTCGTTGCCTCTCTAACAGGAACTTCGGAGGTACTACTAACAGAAGACCGGCTGCACCGCTATTTAAAACTCCGCGTACTTCCCGTGTAAAGCTTCGGAATCTTTGTTGCTTCTCCTAACGAGTCTTTCCATTTCACTTTTGCGATCAAGGAGGTTACAAACGACAGTGTACGAGTTCCAAAGATAAAAAAAATTTATGCTTGTCTATGTACTCAATTCTTTCAAAATGAAAAAAGAGTTTTTTAATCTCTTAGAAACTCTATGAACTTTTCAGCTAAAATTAATCAATGGGTCTGCCCAGTATTGAGTTAATATTAATTCAGCTCAAACACTTATTTTAAAGTATCGCAAAAACCCGCAAGGTACAACCACCAACACATAAAACTGAATTAAAAATCAGATGACAACACACCCTATAGATGACAGCGATCTCTCGTATCAATATCATTATACAGCTGTAGATGTATCAAATCACTGCCTCGTTTAAAAATAGGCAACTTTTGTAAAACAGCAGTGATGGTTTCAATAAGGGTAAAATAAAACCTAGACTTAGAAAAAAGACTTCACTCAATTGGAACACTCCAAATGAAAAAAGCCCAGGACACTGTCGTCTCAAGTGAGTGTGTCTTTGCTGCTGCACTCACCGAGATACTCTTCGATGTGTCCTACGATTGCCCGAGCTGTCTGATCAAGTAGCTCAAGGCAACCTCTGATATAAAATATTAAGGATATAAGAAAAAACTTTCCCACATTCTGACAGTTCCAATTGTCCAAAAACTATCGGATTTGGACCCTCCGATTCCTTCCTTTTCCAATTCCTTCCCTTTCCGATTCCTTCCTTTTCCGATTCCTTTCCTTTCCGATGTAAGTATGTATCTCTATCACTTGAGCTACTCGGATGGTTGCCTTAAAAATGCTGTTAGAACTGAGCTCGTTTTTTTTTATCGCTAAACCTCGAAAACTCGAAATTTGAATCCTCGAAACAAATTTACGAAATCCAGAATATTACAAAAAGTTTATTTTCCTCAACTTTTCCGAGTCTTTTTCCGTGTGGTTTCTGTACTCAGGGGCGTTAAACTACGTAGTAACTCACTGCGCAGAAGCTCAAAATTGTTTGGAAAAAAATAGATGTCCAAAAACTTGGGGTTGGCAATTTGGCCAAGACTCGGTAATTTTCGACAACATCAGGGTGTTTTCTGTTTAATATATGTAATATATGATACGGGCTGTAACATACTAGTAATCGTTCATCAATTTTACCATACCCTCCCACACACGGAGCGATCCAATTGTGTTCCCCACCACCTAAGTTTTTCGAAATAGTACCATCAACTTAAATTGTCGTTGTGGATGTTGTCCCCTGCTGTGTCTGGAAAACGTCTGTCAGCTTGCCGCTTTAACCTCCGTTCACCGGCAAAATTACCATCAACGTGCCTAAATACTCGAACAACATTCAAGGAAGTTACCTAACCAGCAAGATATACATTCGATCTTTCGATTAAAAATGTTATATATGTATATATATCTTTCTAAAACGACAACAAAAAGAAATGTCTCGTCCGGAAATAATATAAAAGCTGTTATTTACTGTTTTTTTTGTTTTTGTCTTTTTTTCTTTCTTGAAAAACCAGTTAAAAAACCTAAAAAAGACCAAAAACAATAAAAAACAGAAAATGGCAGCTTTTATAATTTTTCTGGACGAGATGTGATCAGATTTTTCTGTTTGTTGTTGTTTTAAAATGATTTATAACGTTTTTAATAGAAAGATCGATTGTATTGCTTGCTGGATAGGTAACCTCCCTCGAGTGTTGTTTGAGTATTTCAAGATTTGGAGTATTTTTGGTGTTAAAGTCATCTTATTTTTGGCTTTTCTTGGTTACAAACTAATTTTGTTTGGCTTTACGCTTTCTCTTTAAAAGTTTTTGGTCCCATAGCTTTAGGTTATTTGGGCTCTAGACTTCCCACCAAAACCTCCGACCCCGGGAAATTTTGGTCTTGTACCGTCCATCTGGTACAATGCAGCACAATAAGGCCTCTAACTCGGGCATACGCCCGGAGCTGAGAGTTCGTCGCTGTAACATTTGCTGATCGTGATGGCCTATCGCCTTTAACAGGCCCATCCAGGAGCCCCATAAAAACGTCTATGTAGCTTTCGCGCAGAAATTGCACATTGACGGAGCGTAGAAAAAGTACCTATTGAAGTTACCTCAATCCTACTCGTTTTTAATCGTCTTGACCAAGCCAGTTGCTTTTCTGCTCTGTTAAGGTCTAAGTAAGTTGTTACTATTTTTAGGCCAACAGCCAAACAATTTTCAATCAGCTTTCGTTTACACGCGAAAGTAACTATGTTGCTGGTACTCGGATCCACAGACAAAGTGATTACTGTTAAAAACATGGCTAGAAAATTCTATTTAACAATGTTTTTACTGACACTTATATACTAAACTCATTAGAGATGTATTGACTCTCTCCTCGTCTCTAACTGCTCATGCTCTGTAATATTAAATAAAATAACAGTAAATTAAAAACGGATAGGGCATTACAGCAACTAAAATATTTTATTGTCTTTCAAAATTCTCTTGGCATCGGGCCTCCAATTATACTCTCCAGGAGAATAAATCTTTATCTCTCTGATTTCATTGCATGGTAGGATTCCCCTGGACCTTCCATTCACACGATCTTCCTATAAGCACCTTATCGCGGCTTGATCTCACGATAGAAGCCTTCGTTTCTCTTCTATTCTCTTCTTTGGCGCGACTGCGGCGGTCACTATTAGGCTGTCTAGTTTTCTGTTCGAACAGTAGAACATATTGTAATAATTCGTTGGCTCACAATTCGACCAATCAGAAATCGAGTGTAGGAATGTTCTATTAATCCACAAGCGATATTTACAAAATATAAAATTGGATCCGATGATATGTTCTTTGGAGTGATGAAGGTGTTGAAAACATAAAAAAAAGCTTGAATTGTCTCAAATAAAAAACTTTGTCGAGTCCATCACTAGCTTCTAGTGTGCCCAGAACAGAAGCACTGTTACCAACCTGTAGAGCCACAGAGACAAGCTGCTTAAGGTAAAGTGTAGACTTAGGTTCTTGCTTAGCAGCCGATAGACGTTTACCATTTACCGCTCAACGTAAAGTGTCGACTTAGGTTCTTGCGTAGCAGCCGATAGAAATTTAGTTGAACAATATTTGTATAAATTCGACCGATTTTTCATTTTGGTTCAAATGGACATTGGTACAAATGGGACTTCACCAATTCTCAAGCCATTGAAAACTTGTTTCAGATTAGAGAAATGAGGAGTTTCCTAACCAGATTTTACTAGTGATTACATATTGTTTTGGATTTTACGTTTGGTAATCTGTTAGTCTAAGGTGAGTTTTTGTGCAAAGTATCACAAAAAAATTGAAGCTCACAGCATCAATCAAAAGTAATATAAGTAGTTCTTAGAAAGGAAAGTATTTTTGGTTTCTTTCAACTTTTGAACCAGAAAACGATTTTCAAACGAGATGAATATTTGTCTCAATCAAAGCTGACTTACAGTCCCACTCTAAAAAACAAAAGTTTTGATTTGTTATTTCATTTTTGTAGCTAGATAGTTGCGTAACTTTTTTCTCCAGCATAGTTATTGCTAAAAACGATTAGAATTTAACAAAAAAGTTATGAAAAGAAGAGAATATACCTAATAGCGGTGCCTAGCGCATCAGCCATATGATAAGATGCAGGAGTAATTGAAGTATAAGAAACTGACTTTCAAACTGACATGCAACAGAGTAAACTATCTAACTAGAACTAAAAGGGAGTTCTAGAAACCATAATAAGTTTGTATGGCTAGATTTTATTCAATTATTAAATACGCGGTCATATAAGGTCATGTAAATGAAGGAGTTATATAGTATAGAAAAGTTCTTCTAGGGATTCAACTTCTCGCATTGTGCCCAGAATACAGGCGGAATTGGCAGTTTGATTAGCAATAGATATCCGTTGTTTTAAAAACATAGCCGCGCGCATGTGCAATTATTATAGAAGGTCAAATTTAAGAGAATTTTAAATCAGTACCAAGCAAAATTTCTATTTTACAATGTTTTTTTTTTTAATTTTTAGTTTACCTTCCAAATACAAAGTCGGATAGTTTTTGATCATCTGGTACTCGCATGTCTTCTGGTTCATGTCCTCGAAGGTATCGACATTTGCGCACATCGTCCCATGTCCTCTTAAGTTGAAGAGTTTCCTCGGTTTCCTTGACGTAACCCATGTACACCACAGCCTCGAATAGACTGTTGAAATGTTTTGTATTTGCCGCTTTTCCTGAAAAAAAGTTCTTTAGCTCTTTATTGATAAGTGCTTACAATCTTGTGCTAATTGTTGCACTTAGCACAAGATTATATTATATATTTCGGTATATATAACTAGTTGTTTCAAGATAGGTGAGCGGCGAATTGAGCATGTCAGTTGTTATAGTTTATTTATATATTGTTTGATCGTTTATCGTTGTTATAAGTGTAACGTTATGATGTTGAACTGTTACAAATACCTGTATGCCATAACGCCGCTACGGTTAGTTTTTCTTGGTGCAGCGTTTAGATTTTTTGGACATGTTTGATTCGTTTATTAACTGAACCACGAATAGTGTAACATGGTAATTTCTTTTTTGTTTCATTGAAACGATTCATATTTCGTTTTCGAACTCAATGTCTTTTGTTGTTTTAGTTTTGATTATCATCATATTTTCTAACGATTTTGAATACCTTTCTTTTAATCATTTTAAATCTAAATTAATTGGCTAAAAAATAAATGTAAAAGACGTGATTTTTTAATGAGAGATTTTCCCGACGATTTCAACTTCTTCAAAGAAGTATCGTTAGACGCCACGTTCCTGTAACCGTGTTTCTAAATACTTATTTCATAAAAATCTCTGAGATACGAAAAACCAGTCTACATTTTTGCTATTCGAGCTTTACCTTCAGGATTCAATTTGAGGCTCAGAATAAAATAGAACATTCGATCATTCGCAATCATATGCTATAATTGAGTGTAGCTTATTTTCATATTACTGCCTAGTTTTTGAAGCCTTATTTTAACCCCTTCCAGGCTATCAAACGGTATGAAATCGGAATATTCAAATTGATCAGGCTAACAAAAGTAAATCTCTGAATTTTAAAACGCCGTTCAACTACCAACTCGTAGTCAACAAGAACAGACCTGTCAAAGCGATGAAAATAAGTATAGAAACGACTTTGACATGAAATCGAATAGCCAACTGTACTGGGATACGGATACTTAGTCAGCAAGTTCAATTATATAAACAGATGTACGCGGAAAATTGTCTGCAAATGCATCCATTGTAACAGTTGGAAACAAAGTTGAAACGAAAACTTGATGTGATTTTATAAAAATTGGGATAATGGGACTCTTAACCATTCGTCGTTTAAAGGATCAAAACATTTTTGAGTTCATTTGAGATTTTTGAGATTTTTTGTCGTGTACCCCCCAATTCTGTTCATTTTACCGCTTGATAAATTTTGTTTTAAGAACTATATTTAATTTAATTAAGCGAGTCATTTTCAGCCATGTTTAAACCAATTGAAGAAGAAGAAGAATTTATCTCTCCATGTAGTTGATAGTACAAGCATCAATTTTTTAAAATTATTAAATCAACAAAATGGAGGGGATAGACAGGCGCAGTATGTGCCTACTTGACGTCTACCCGTTGAACAAATTATGATTGCAACTAAGTAATAAAGATAAATTTACATTCGAATAAATATAGGATTGTGGGGAAAAATTTATTTTTCCCCTAAAAATAAGCCCTCATTAAGGAATAGTTATAACTGAACACGAATAGTGTAACATGGCAATTTCTTTTTTGTTCATGAAACTATTCATGTTTCGTTTTCGAACTCAATGTCTTTTGTTGTTTTCGTTTTGATTATCATCATATTTTCTAACGATGTTGAATATCTTTCTTTTAATCATTTTAAATCTAAATTGATTGGCTAAAAAACAAATGTGAAAGACGTGATTTTTTTATGAGAGATTTTCACGACGATTTCAACTTCTTCAAAGAAGTAACGTTAGATGTCACGTTATTTTAACCGTATTTCTAAATACTTATCATAAAAATCTCTCAGAGATACGAAAAACCAGTCTACATTTTTGCTATTCGAGCTTTACCTTCAGGATTCAATTTGAGGCTCAGAAGCAAATAGAACATTCGATCATTCGCAATCATATGCTATAATTGAGTGTAGCTTATTTTCATATTACTGCATAGTTTTTGAAGCCTGGTTTTAACCTAGAATTTTAACATAAACATATGCCGGAACTGAGTAAATTTTTCTATCTTTGTTATGGCGAGACGTCTTGTCTTTCATTTTTTGATTTTCTTATCGACAACAAGGAGCACAATCTTTTGATTTTCTTATGAAGGCGCACAACAAGGAGAACCATTAGCTGTATTTTCATTTTGCCTGGCAATCAACGATATTCTGAAAGCCCTTACATCAATGTTCAAATCTGGCTACGTCGATGACATAAGTGCCGGTGATATCGTGTGGCAGAATGTCCTCAAAGACCTTGAGACCGTGATAGCAGAAGGTGTCAAGATCGGACTGAATCTGAATCTGAAAAACAAGTCTGAGTTGATTGTATTTTGCGATGATGCCAGAGAAAAGAATTCAATCATTCAGTCCTTCTTAGCAGTTTTCCCCCACATGACAATCACTGGACCTACGGACTTGGTTCTCCTAGGTGCCCCGATTGGCGAAAAGGCACAAGAAACTGTTGTTCAAGATAAACTCAACGAATTCAGTCGCATGTGCATTCGACTGCAATCGCTTCCGTCACATGTTGCTTTCTTCCTGCTTAAGAATTTTTTCTACATTCCAGAACTAATGTGCATAATGCGAACGTCAACATCATTCCTGAAAACAGACGCTCTTCACCGTTTCGACGAGAGTATCCGGAACACACTGCAGTTGATCTTCAACGTCGAGATTGACGATCCACAATGGGAGCTTTTGACGTTGCCATACAAACTGGGTGGAATGGGTATTTTGCAGGTCCCGAAACTGGCTTTTGCTGCGTATGCGTCATCCATATTTAGCACTCTAGATATCTGTAATAACTCTATGCCAATGAAGCAACAACTGAATCTCTAATTGGATCTGTTGTACAACACTGGCGAAGTACCATAAACAGTGATGAATCTCTACCAGAGCGCAAATTCAAACAGAACGATTGGTTTAACCCAATGATGCTTCAACAAGCTGAGTCGATTAAAGGACCAGGACACGTGGCCCGCTTGAACGGCTTGGTGTGACCCGGAGCTGCTGACTGGCTCAACGCCCTTCCCTCGAGAACACTAGCACTCCAGCTCACTGATGATGAATTTCGAATTGCCATAGGTTACCGTCTTGGCGCACCGCTCTGTACCCCACACGAGTGTTCTTGTGGCGATATAGTCGATGCCTATGGTAAGCATGCATTAGTTTGCAAGAAGAGCAGATCTGTTCATGCAAGACATTCGATAGGCAATCATATTATTCATAGGGCATTTATTCAAGCCAACATCCCGTCGACCATCGAGCCCCAGGGACTATTTTTGTCTGACCGTAAGAGACCAGATGGACTCACACTAGTTCCATGGACGCACGGAAGAGCATTGGCTTGGGACTTCACCTGCGTACATAGACCGGCATCCTCGTACACCCAGCTCGCGAGTCGAGAAGGACCCACTGTGGCAGATGCAGCGGAATCACGAAAACGCGCTAAATACGAAGAGATATCAGCAACACACATCTTCCAATCGATTGCGATTGAAACTCTTGGAGGTCTGGGTACTGATACACTGCGCTTTATAACAAGCCTTGGTAAACGAGTGACGCAAGCTACTGGCGATGACAGAGCGACAATTTTCTTGCGGCAGAGACTTGGCCTTGCTGTACAGCGTGGATCATTGCTGTTGATGTTGACGACCCAGTTGGTGCCGACTTTCGGCGATAACCAAGATTGAATCATGACTGTTTTTTAAATAGCGTTTAAAATGTTTTTTTTTTAAATATAAATTTGGTGCTACTCTTGAAACATTCCTCGGACTTGGTCCATTTTGTTTTTTAAGTCGGTTTGAATTCACGTAAAATTAAGTTGTAAAAAAAAATTATTACATCTAGGCCTGTCATTTTTTTCATTTTTTTTAAATTTTCAAAAAAAAATGCGATATCTCGAAAACTACAAGGATTTGGAGGGTCATATTTTCAGCATAGAATTGCAACCCTAGATTAGTTGTTTGATAGCATTTAACCAGCGGGTACCACTTTTGAAAAATAAAAGTTCAAAGAAATATGTTTTGCACCAACTCGTAATTGCCACAAATGAAAATATCTTTAAATTTATGGACGAAACTGTCTTCTTTTTTTGACATCAATTCAATGTTTTCGGGTAACAGCTTATTTCTACTCATAATATTCAATAACTTTGAACCCCTATTAGTCAAAGAACATGATTTTACCTTATTCTTACAGAATGGTGGAACAAATGATCGACCTGAAATTCGCGTATGATAGGCAAAATTTTAAAAAGTAATTAAAGAATTGAGAAAACAAGTTGGATGTATTTGATTTAGTGATCGTAAACAAAACTTCATTAAATCGTACACATATAGCTTGTGAACTGTTAGTATTTTGTTATCAGAAAAGAATTTAGTAATGGTATCAAATTTCCTTCTGAAGCAGATCATGCGAACAATTTTTCGTTGTATATTCAAAATTGGGCTTAAATAAGAAAAACTTGTGCCGCCGTGGACGAGCAAGCCATATTGTATTATTGGCTTGATATTCGACATATAGTATTTCAGTAGGATGGTTCTTGGTACATAATGTCTCATTTTCGATATTACACCACAGTGACGACCTAGTTTTGATTGAACAAACTGTATATGGTGAAAAAAATTTAAGCTTATCATCTACAATGACACCTAGGTATTTGCAAAAAGTTTTTGGCTGAAAAGTGAAATCAAGTATATCAATAGAAAGATTGGAAGCACTTCTATCCATAGTAAAATTAATTAGTAGTTTTAATTAAGTAGTTTTATCTGAGTTTAAGGTTAATTTATTTGAACAAAGCCAGGAAAAAATGTCGGTCAAATCTAACTGGTATTCTTCATAGATAGATGTTTGACATGATATGTTTGTATCATCTACAAATAGAAACACATTTGAATTGCAAACTGCTGCTTTATGTCGTTTATATAATCAAGAAACAAGAAAGCGCCTAAAACAGAGCCTGGAGGTATTCCCGTGTTTACTTGCAACCAATCAGATGAACAGTTGTTTTCATGCACACATTGATACCTATTAGATAGATAGCTTTCTCGAACCATTATAGCAATTTCCACAAGCTCCATAGCATTCTAATTTCCTCAAAAGAATTTTATGGTCCAGCGTATCAAATGCCTTTTTTTGAATCAATGAAGAAGCTATATTTAATGTTTTTATCAACACCTAGTCTTAATCTTTCAGTCAATTCAGCTAATGCATCAACTGTGGCAAACTTCTCCCTGAACCCAAACTGACGATGATACAGTAATTCAAACTTTTCAAGATAATTGTAAAATCGAGAGTGCATGATTTTTTCAATGACTTCGCTGCAGCTACTTAGAAGTGATATTGGACGGTAATTGCTCGTAATTATTCTGCTATCAGCTTTATGAAGAGGTTAAACCCGAGAATACTTGAGGCTTTGAGGAAACATGCCGGAGCAAAATGAGAAATTAGTTCCTGTTTGATTGTTTGATTCACCTACCTGCCTGCATAAAATTTAGGGCAATTTTTACCCTACCCCACCCCCTACGGTCTTAGAAAAGCTTCACAACTCGGTACTTTTTTCACTTTTTCCCCGTTTTTTCGGAAATTTTCGATTTCCTCAAAAACTACCCGTCCAGATTTGGGACTAAGGGTTTAATCGATAGACCAGGTTGTAGGAAACTCCCATGCACACGCGGCTGGTCCCTAATTTGCTTAGGGGAAGAGCTATAGACTTAGGAAAAGTCACTTTTTTGGCCTTTTTTCAAATCTTTCCGATTTCCTCAAAAACTACCCGTCCAGATTTGGGATTAAGGGTTTAATCGATAGACCAGGTTGTAGGAATCCTCCCTACACAAACGGCTGGTCCTTAACTTGCCTAGGGGAAGAGCTATAGACTTAGGAAAAGTCACTTTTTTTTGACTTTTTTGGCCTTTTTTCAAATCTTTCCGATTTCCTCAAAAACTACCCGTCCAGATTTGGGATTAAGGGTTTAATCGATAGACCAGGTTGTAGGAATCCTCCCTACACAAACGGCTTGTCCCTAATTTGTCTAGGGGAAGAGCCATACACTTAGGAATAGTCAATTTTTCGGTTTTTAGGCCATTTTTTCAAACTTTTTCGATTTCTTCAAAAACTACCCATCCAGATTTGGGATTAAGGGTTTAATCGATAGACCAGGTTGTAGGAAACTCCCCTGACCAAGCGGCTGGTCCTTAATTTGTCTCGGGGAAGAGCTGTACACTTAGGAAAAGTTTTTTTAAAAGTTTTTTGGCATTGGAACAAAGATTCAATATACAAAGATATAGGAAACACCTATGGTCTTGAAAAGTTCCCTCATGAAAACTTTTTACCAAAGCGTTACCAATGAATGCATAAGCTTCTCTTTCACTTTTTTTTTGCGTACGAAGGGCGCTATCGACTTGAGAAACCTGAAATTTTAAAACAATTTTAAAATTATCAATATTAAAATAATCAAACAGGTCTCTCCAGCTTTCAGCTGGGCCCCTAGTTAAGTATGTTAAATAAGGTGCTAACACATACCTGCTTTTAACTTAAAAAAGGTTACTAATTTCATCGATGCGACAAGTATGCTTGGGCTTCAGACTCTCTATCACATCAATTGTCTCACAAATTGTACTATTAAAAAGATATACATAGATTGGCTTACGATTTCTATTTTAATCACTGGCTCCACGTGGTTAATTTTGCTTGCTAACTTGGTTCCTACCGAAGCGAAAAATGATTGAAAGCGTTAGATATTAGAAAGCGGTCAGATAGTTTATTGTTATTGATTAAAAGAGCTGAAATTTTTGATGATTTTGCGGTCTTGCCATTTATTGCATTTAAAACTTCAAATACTTGTCTCGAGTCTCCAATACATTTATTAGATTTTTGATAGTAATAATCTTTTTTCGCGATTCTTATAAGTTTTTCGGCTTTTTAACGTTGGTCAGACAAAAGAATTCAATTTGTCTGACTTCACAATTTGTATTAGCTTCACAATTGGTCAGACAAAAGAATTCAATTTGTCTGACTTCACAATTTGTATTAGCGATTTCTTTTTATAAACGAATTCTTCAAGCCTTTAGCGAACCAAGGAGCATTAGTTTTGCTTTTGTGTATCATATTGCGTAATGGTGCAAAAAGGTTTAAGGATTTCATTAAGCTGTGATTGAACTTTTTGTACGCAAGGTCTATGTTGTTATCGCTGATCAGGTTTGCATCTTCTAAGTTTTGTTTCAAACTTAACAAAAAAATCATTCATTTTATTTTCTTTTGTTAAAAAGGACATATCACGATATGAAAAATGAATTGTGTATGTTTAAGAGCTATACGCTATCTCTACGTGTTTTAACTAAGTCTACAATAATATAGCTATGTAGTGCAAATAGGTTTAAGCTCTAATGCTTCACAGCCGATTTTTATCTAGCATCGGTTTTGTGCTTAATAGCATTACTTCTATTTAAGCATGCATGTTAGATTTAAATCATGCTTTGCATTTTTCATTTCTTTTTTTATGTATTATTTTTTACAATTGAAATCCAGGCTGTGTTAAGCACTTTTTTGTCGATGCTTGGTGATGTTTTTTAAATATAGGTTTGATTGATCATCTTCTTGTGCTCCTCCAATTTCTTGAGTGTTTATTTATTTTGTATTTTTAGATTAAATTTTGTTTTTAAGCTTAGCAACTTTTACTCTAATTGTTTTAGAGAGAAATTATTAATATTTTTTTCTAAGAGAAAGCAATTGGAAACTATCAATATTTTTTTTTCAAATCCTGATTGTTTGTCTTTTTTGTCTGTTTCGTTGAATCTGCCCTATCAACCGACGGCCGGTGCTTTCTTCAAATACCTTGCTCTGTTTTGAAGGGTACGCCTAGTGACTAAGTTACTTGCTTAACTTGTAATTTAAGCCTTTCTTGCTCGCAAAGTTAATTTTTTAATATTAGAGAGATAAAATAAAACTATTGAAAAGAAGTAAGAGTATTGTTTTGAACGATTTTTAAAATTTTGTTTATCAACTTTAACATAATGTCATCAGTGTTTTGCGATGTGCCTGCGTTTTCACCAGGAGTTTTTTGCTCGCTTTTTTATCGTAAAGCAGTTATAATTCGACATCACAAACTCTTTTTCATTGATAAAATTAAATTCAAATGTTTTTCTTCCTTATAATTTAATGACTTGCGCTTATCCTTTACAATGCAGAAAGTTCTGCACTGGTTCGCTAGTATTCATTAAACTCTGGCAATTGTGTCTGTCAGCATCTTTTCACATTTTTAACGTAGTCGAGAAAAATATTTTAAAAAGTCGCTCAAAAGTTACTGTAGTAAATCATTTGATAGCTCGGTTTGTTATCGATTCAAATACTAATTTTGTCCATTTGGTGCATAGGTAACACAATTATTTAACGCTTTGCGCAGAGTACCAACCGTTAGGATGACAAACATCACTGATTCGAGACCGAACAAAGGCCGTCAAATCCAAAATTGTTTTTCATCTGATTACAACCTAAAAAACTTGACATTTTCCCAATTTGCAACGGAGTACTAGACTTTTTCCCATAAATAACTGGTTCACATGGCTCATCTGCTGGTCCCCTCTGTTGAAACTATTTTCAATTTTTTCGGCGTTTTCGATTTTTTTTTTGCTTGGCGGCTTTCTTGTATTGTGTCGCTAGCTAGTGGTGTGTTGCTCCTCTTCACTTGTGTGAGGTTTTGTGTTGCTCGATTTTCCAAAAGAGATTTTTAGATTTATAAGTGCGATGGAGACTGGGTCATAGTTAATCTGGGTCAAAAAGCTAAAGGATTACATCGCGTTTTTAACAATCCGTTTTCTGTTCGATTTTTGTGGCTTCTGTTTATGGATCGCAAGTGATGCGAAGCTCGGCTTTATATCTTGTGCATTAACTACGAATGATAAAAGTTTGAAAATTACTATTGAATCTTTAGATAGGCTTATTTTTGTCGGAAAAAGCGCCATTGTATGGGTGCTTTGATTTTGATTAACTTCATTTCGTTACTTATTTTCTGTTGGACAGCATATAGGATAGATTAGTTTAATCTTACCCAGTAATCGATTTTTAGTTGATAGCTTCTCCTCTGCTTTCTGCTCCAATTGGACCATTCGTTTCTTGTACAAGTTGGCCACCTTCTGGGAAATCATCTGGAACCTGGCTACCAGTTTGCGTCTCCTCAGTCTTCTGTTTTTCTCTATCCTCTCTTCCGTGGACATATCTTCTTCTTGGTAGATCATCATCTGGCTTCTCTTCTGCTGCTCCAGCCGCTTCTGCTTCTCCGCATTGACAGCTGCCTCCATCAGACTGTTCTTTTTCAGCTTCTCAATGTTCGCGTGCACTTTTTCACTGGAACAACAACATTCGCTAACGAAATGATATTATAAACCATTTATTCGCAACATATGATATTTCCGATTATTTGAGCTGTTTGTTTTCGAAAGGAGAACTGCTACGCTACTGCGCCCTTAAGATATTCTGGAAATTCCTTAGAGATTTAACGTTCGAAAAGGGTAGACCATAAAAGCGACAGACTTTAATCCCGTTCCTCTAAAGCTCCTACAGTACGCTGGCGACAGTATTTACAAAATACAAAAATTGATCAACCCAATCTTATTGATAAACCCAATCCGATAAACCCGACATTTTCAGGTCAAAAGAATATCCCGAAAGTGCCGGCGATCAGCTTGTACACAATTGTTTTATTGTTCTTGTTCGGACCATTTGAAAAAATGGGGAGGAACTTCGTATTCGGGTGTGCTTTGATTTTTGTAACGCAAAAGCTAGTCCCCTAAATAATTTGACGAAAGTTTTCCCGGTATTGTGAAGAAAATTTTGAAGAAAATTTTCCCGGTATTGTGAAAAACTGGAGAAAAGGTTTTTGTTTAAATTTCGTGCGGATGAAGCGACCGATGAACGTTTGTTATATATATGAAAATTTTGTAAAAGAAAATTGGGGAAAGTTTTTTCATTTTTTGTTTATTTATTTTTTGACAATAATTGTAGTCATCTAAAATTTTTTGAAAAAAAAAAAAACGTTTTTTGGTCTAATTTCGAGCGAGTAGACTTATTTAATGCTTAAGTTAAGCCGTTTACAATAGCTTATTTGTGCCTATTTTTAGTTTTACTTCAGTAAAATTAGTTTTTGGGAGTTTTTTTACTCCATTTTGGGAATCATTTAATTTTTTTTTGTTTTCTACAAAAATCGCTTAATTACTCCAATTTGCTTATTTACCTTTGACTGTCGAATATGCCTAAGCTCTAGTTTTTCGTTCAGATTCTTTAATCACACCACGCACAAAACAAGACACTAATTTGAAAGAAAAAAAAACGTTTATCGCTTGCACAGTAACAGGCTATCCTTGTTTTGCCATGTGTATTAGTGTATTTTTTTTCTCACACATTTACTTTGTTTGCACAACGCTGGTTTCAACCTTTATCATGTTTAAAATTATCATGTTTCACCTGAAGCTTCTGAGCGCCATCAAGTCCTGCATGGGGTCTCTGTTGACCGACAGTCCCTGTTTTTGTCTCTCCTGCTCCATGCGAAGTTGTTTGAACTGACTGATGATTTCTTCGAAGCTCTTCTGGTTGATAGACTCTCTCTGCTCCTGGTTCAGCTCAACAGGTCTCTCTCTCAGTTCACGTATCTTTCTCAGTTTGTCTCCTGAAAAAATTAGCCGTGATTGTGTTAGTTAAAAATATATATTTTTTTTCCAGCTGACATTTCAACAAAATAGTAGGTTCTTTTGCAAGTTGAGGTATATTTTAACTGTTTTACAATTTTAAGATCTGAGTTTCCGGAAACTAAAAATCTAGTAAAGCAGGATTTTTATAGCGCAAAATTTGAAGCAATTTTTTTTCCTGTGCCTCAGTTACCGCTTGAAAATTTTTGTTTCAGTTTTAAGCTTGCGATATGCAAGCGTTATCAAATCGAAAGATTGACTTTATTCAATTTAACAGCTTCTTCAGTAGAATCACTGAATCATTTGATGGCTTGACTTACAGAAAATATAAGCTCAGGAGTTTATTCTGCGCGCTGGGCTTAGATAGTTGAGTAATTATCGTAAAAAGTAAAAGTATCGAGTATTAAATGAAAGAGTACAGAACATAATGTCCTTTTACGAAGACAAAACTGATCTGTACTTTTTCAGAGCGTTATCTAGTTTGTGTTGAACCATTGTAAATTTTGTTTCATTTTTATTTTTTCTTTCGTATTATTAAAATTCAGTTTTTCATCCTACTGAAATTTTTGTCAGCTTTTTTTGAAAAGACGTTTCCTTGCAGACTCCCGGAAACGTAACTAAACGCAAGAAGATGACTTGTGCCTTAGCAATTTAATCCCAGGACAATCGCCCTTATTTTCGGGATGCTAGGTTGGGACTACGGGCTGGCAAACCCTTTAGCTTTGCGTTTTTGTGCCAACAGTTCAAAAAAAGCTGACAAAGCGATCAGGTCCTAAGTTTAAGTTCGAGAATGATTCTAAAAAATATTGATTTTTTTAGGCTTTTGGCATTGGTTAAACCTTTTTTAAATTTCTATACCGGCTGAAAATGTCCAGAAAATTTGGCCATATTAGTCAAAGGACGTCTAATTATTTGCGGGCTTTTGAAGTTCATTGAACTATTGCTTGTTTTTGGTTCATTTTGGAATGATTCATTGAAAATATTGGCAAGGCCATTTCATTTTGGTTAGAAACGTTTCATTGAAGTCATTTGCAAGGTCATTTCTGTTCAAAATTTACGCGAATTAAGTAACGCGAATTTGTCTGGCTTTAAAATGGCAAAAATTTCTCTCGTTTAATTCTTTGATGATTACCGAAATCCCCTTTGAAGTAAGTTTTCTTTTCATTTTGGATTAAAACGGTGTTAAGTCATAGAAATTGTTTGAAAATGTAGCGATGTTAATTTGCTAAGGCAACAAAAAGTAGGGAGTGAAATTGTAGGGTGTTAAGTTGTTTAGAGTTAAAAAGGGGGGAACCAATAAATTGAGTTCCGAGAAATTTTGTTTCGCCTGAACACTAGCGGCATACATTCGTGTATCGCATTTAATGCAAAACTCCCTTTCGCTTCAATTGAGTTTCTTCTCAAAATCCTCTTATCTCGAGACAAACATAAAAATATATTTTTTTCAGCGTTTTTTAAATTATTTTTCGGACTCAGTGTCTTTCATCATATTTTCCTTCGACTGGCTGACATTCTTTTTTTGTCTTGTATCCGCGTAGTGACTCGAAGGTCTGCTTCGCCACTGTGTGATAATTTTCAGCAAGCCATAACCTAGAAAGCTTATGTAATTGATTTGCAATGCTGCAATATTGAGAGTAAATAAATCAGCCGAAGTATAAATCAACCGAGTATAGAAGCCCTCTGAAAAGTTAAATCATATGACTAATTTGCATAACTTTCGTTACTCTTAACACTTGCGAGCGCTAGTGTATTAGTACGAACCGTCTTTTTTTCGAACCTAACTCACAAATAAGTGTTAAAAGTGTTCACTTATTTGGTGGCACTTTTGCTACATCACGATCTGTAGCATGGGAAATTTCATAGCATCTGTTCTCTTCTTTATTGGTGGCTAGTGTTTGTGATTTTTTAAGCGTTCGTGGCTGAATGGTTAGTGCATGCTACTCATAATCTCTAGGTCGCAGATTGAAATCTAGACGTAGCCGAGTTTTTACTACTTCGAGCCTTATCTCTACTTTTTCTTATTGCACTTTTTAGAAATAGCAGCTATTTGTCGTGCTCTCCTATGTGTACATAATTGTTACAGAACTATTAAATAACACTTAATTATTTTCGGCTGGTTGATGTTTCGGCTGTTTAATACTTCGGCTGGTTTATATGCCACCGCAATATTAGCATTCCTATTGATATGTAGTAGTGAATAAATCAATGATGAAAAAGAGAAAATGAAAGATTTTTTGCAAGATACCTGAAATGGCAGGCAGAGTGAGTTGTCTTTGGATGACTCTATCTACCTCGTCTCTCCTTCTTCTCTGCTCCTTCCGTATTAGCCACGTAGACTTGGCAGGCCTTGTTTGTCTCACTTTATACCCGCGGCTGCTCGATTGACTTGTGATATGAACCACACTTGTTGCCATGTCGCCTGTATAATTTTATTTTTCAGAGGCTAAATTGTTAAAGATCTATAGAAATTAGATAATTATTGCAATTATTACATTTTTGTATGGAAAGATGTTCGAATATGCACTTTTTGAAAAGGAGAAACTATCAATTTTCTTTGAGAAAAACTGCTAAGAAATGGAATTCTCTTTAAGAACAGGAATAGTTTCCGCAAAAATATAATATTAGATTGTTAAATTGTTATGCAATATCAGTTGTGAACTGCGGTTTGATCTAGTGGCCCTTCAGTCACCCAATTATGAAGCATAAAATAACTTCAAAAACAGGTTGTCCGAAGTATTTTAAGTTTGCGTAACTAGAGCTCTGTTAGTGGCTGATTGCAATCAAATAGTTTATTCTTTGTTTTCATTATGCTGCTGCTAAGCTCCAAAAATCATATCGGAGATATTCAGCAATTTGTTTGAAATTTGCGATATTTTTTTTAAATAGAGCTTGAAGAATATAAGTACAATGATTGTGACGTTCCAAAATGCAGTACTTATTATATTTCTTGCTCTATGAAAATCAGGATGTCAAAATTGTGCAATTATCTGATTTCGAACCAAATATTTGCTCCCGATGATGTCCCTAAATTATCCTTAATGCTAATATACTTAATCTGAAATATAGTTATAAAAAAAATGTCATCTGTATTTTAAAGATGGTTCAGAAATTTTTAATCTCTTCTTTTTGTCCTAACCCACTTCATTCCCTAATACATTTTTAGGTTACTTATATCGAGGCTCATCTGATGAGCTCGAATGCTCAACTTTTTGTCCTTGGCTGAGTGCGTCGGTCATCGTTTTGTTTCCTTGATTGTATCCCCTCTGTTCGAACTCAAACTTGAAAAATAAAAAATGTTCCGATCTCAGTAATAGTTGCAAGTTGCAAGCAAAGAAGTTTTGAACATATTTAAAGAAAAAGATATTTATTCCAAATTTTCCATTTTTCGTCTAATCCGCGCTGTTGCAATTCATTTTAAAGTACGGAATTGTTCAGACTGGTTTTTCTGTATACTAAGAGATCTTTTTGAAATCTTTTGGGAATCTGAGTTAAGACTGACAGGGTTTCAAACCGCTTCAATAATTGGAACCGTTACACTAAAAGTTAAAACTAGACTTTTTCTCTTTAAACTTTGCTTAATTATCACTTATGTTGACTTGAAAAAGCACGCTAATTTTTTTTCCTATTAGATCTGGTGCAAATTTCCCTCTAATGTGGCTGCGATAATGTGAATAATGAATACAAAAGCTTTATCATGTTTCTAACCGATCGGTTGCGAGCTTTTTCCTTTCTCTTTTGTAGGGCGAATAAACTTTTAAAAAGCTGAAATTTACCTGTAGTTTGTGGTCTTGATGTTTTTCTTCTAATTTCGCCCTGTCTGCTATCTGGACCTATGTCCATCACTGTTGAAACACTCGTTTTCTCCCTTGAAGGGGCAGCGAAGGTAACTGATCTCTGAACTTTCTCCATTTTGTCACTACTGTTAAAAATGGCCTTAATTAAGAATAAAATGTACCTCGAAATAATCTTGCAATAAATAATTCGAAACGTTTTTTTTTGCTCAAAAAACGCCAAGCCAGTCAAAAAAACGGGACATGAAAAAAGCGCACCACCGTTAAAAAATCTAACTTTTAACTCATCAAGCTTTGTGAAAAAAGATTTATTCAGCTTATAGATTTTGCGCAGCTGTGTTGTATTTGTGACCAAGTGTAATTGGTTGGTAAACGTCTGGCGTAAATCTTTTATAAACGGTCTAATGGCAGTTTTCATTTTGAATCAAAAAGCTAATACGCGCATTTTGATTGTTCGTTTGTTTTGTTCCACTGTCATTCTAATTGAAAAAAAATAGTGTGCTAAGCTGAGATATAAATATCAAATCAGAAAGATTATCAGATTTTAGCTCTAAAACTGACTTGATTTACATCTAAGCTTTGGCAGGCGAGATTTGCGTTTGGGTGACAGTTCTCCTCTAGGCCGAGATTTTTTCAATATACTTAAGCGAAAAAACGAATAGAGTAAATATCGGTTAATAAAACGCATAACTCACGCGAATATCCAGGAAATGTAGTCCGAATGAAGTTTTGAACGATATTTGCTGAACCATCACTTTTTTCTTTAAAGGGAATGGCTTCTAGAGGAAGACCAGTAAGCCTTAATTTTTTTAAAAATTTTTGTAATAATTATCCCCCGGCCCAGCTCCTACCATTCCACCTTGGGTCTTCTTTCATCGAGGGTAGGAGATATCATTCATTTTGCCGCCGCTGTTCCCACCTTGAGGAGGCGGTTGACACTGTAACCTCTCAAATCGTGACTGAAGTGGGATTCGAACCGACGGCTTTTGTATTAAATGCCGCGCGTTTTACCAACTCGGCCACGGATGCTCAGTAAACCTTGTAGGCGAACTGGGAAAATGTTTGCTGTTCTGATGAGTAGAGAAAAGATGTGCTGATCAGAGCAGATTTTTTCCTAGTCCTAGAACTTTCCTCTTCTTTCAGGTTTAAAATGAACGGAGCTTATTTGAAAAGAGAAAATGCAAACAGTGAAAATATGCCAGACGAAGACGATGAAAATGAACAGTTCGAAATAGTTGCTAAAAAACAAAAATTCGATAGCAGAAATTGTCCTTATTTGGACACTATTAACAGAATTTTCCTGGATTTCGACTTCGAGAAGCTTTGCTCGGTGACCCTATCGCCTCTTAATGTATACGCATGTCTAGTGTGTGGCATATATTATCAGGGGAGGGGAAACTCGACCCCAGCTTATGTGCACAGTGGGGAGTTAGATCACCATGTATTCATGAACTTACACACACTGAAGTTCTTTTGTATTCCGGATAACTATGAGATTATCGATTCTTCACTTGATGATATAAAACATGTGTGTAATCCGATTTACACCAAAGAGCAGATCGAGAAACTGGGAGCAGTGGAAAGAGTTTGCAGACCTATTACTGGTATCAAGCTTTGTTAAATTTCGTAGCGAGATAAAATTTCCCAGCAAAATATAAAGAAAGAAAGACAGCAAGACTAAGAATTTGTTTCTCCAGTATATTTTTACAGCAATATAAAAATTTCTTTAAATATTTTTTGTTGATTGCAGGGCCATTCTTTGTGATGTTATATCATCGAATTTTTAATCATTAGATTTCGTGCTGCTCATAGATCCTATTTATGGTGACTTTTTTTTGCTTTTTAGGTACACCTTACAGACCGGGAATAGTTGGTCTGAACAATATTAAAGCGAACGACTACTGCAATGTGGTGCTACAAATAGTCTCTCACATACCGCCAATCCGAGATTTTTTCCTCCAAGATCAGAACTACAAATCAATTTCAAGGCCACCTGGAGACATTCTGAAGATTCTTTTGCAAAGATTAGGAGAGTTGTACCGTAAGTTGTGGAATTTTGGAAACTTCAAAGCTCATGTATCGCCTCATGAAATGCTTCAGGCAGTTGTGCTATGCAGCAAAAAAGTGTTCCAAATAACGAAGCAAGGAGACGCTATTGATGTTCTATCGTGGCTGCTCAATTCTCTCCATATTGCACTTAATGGTACTAAAAAGTTGAAGAGTTCAATCATCTCAAGGACATTGAGGGGGAAAATGAAAGTGAGCAGTCGCAGGTTGATTCCAGCTGAAGTAACAGATCCAGAAGAGTTGACTAAGTTCTATAATAACCCAGATTACCTCGAGAAGTTCGAGGAGCAACCGTTTACATATCTGACTTTGGATGTGCCTCCGATGCCACTTTTTAAAGTTTGAAACCTTTCTTGATATGGTTAAATTTTGTGTCAATTTTGTAAGGGACAAGCATTTGCAAATCTCAAATTACAGTGAAAGAAATTGATCAATGCCTAATAACTTCGAAAGACTTGTCTGGGATCTTTTTAAGGTAGAGAGTATCTTTATAAAGCATTAGAAAAAAACGCTCCAAAAAATGAACGAAGTTGTATAGTATTGCCATCTGTTACGTTGGCTCAACTTAGTTCATTTGGTCGAGCAAATCTTTTGAACCCTCACAGTAAACTAACGTTTCCTCACATTTTCTAGGATGAGCAAGAGCAAAACGTGATCCCACAGATAGCTCTCACCACTCTGCTTCACAAGTTCGATGGAGTGCAGGAGAAAGAGTACAAGACATATAAGGACTCAACTGTGAAAAAGTTCACAATCACTACGCTGCCGGACTTCCTGTTGATCTACATCAAGAGGTTCTACAAGAACAACTTCTTCATCGAAAAAAACAAGACACTCGTTAATTTTGCAATCAAAGGTAAGTGAAGCATCTTTTTATTAACTACTTTTTTAAACGACATCTTACTGTTATACAGGATAAGTTTAGCTAAGTTGAGAAAAGATTCAGTATTATCCATACATGATTTTTTTTTGTTTTATCTCAGGTTTGGACATGAGTGTGTTCTTGACTGAAGAGGCCAAAAAGAAATACAAACCCGAAAACTGCCTCTATGACCTCGTATCCAATGTAGTACACGAAGATGAAATAACGACAGAATCCTCCCAGAAGCTAGTATCAAACAGTAAAGGTCACTACAAAGTGCACGTGATTGACAGGCCCTCTCAAAAGTGGTTTGAATTGCAGGACTTGCACGTGACAGAAATTCTGCCCCAGATGATCACACTATCGCAAGCATATATACAAGTTTACGAAAGACGGAAAAATTAAATGTTTTTTGTTTGTTTGTTATGATTCAGCTATGAAGATCAATTACTGTTAAAAGACCTCAAAAATTTTTAACCAGGAACTGAGTTTGAGAGGAATGTAGCACCAATTGATCTTGACTACTGATAAAAGAGCTGCCGACGGATTCACGATCAACTTTTGCAATGGAAAGCAACGGTCTAGCAAATTAAACATCATATTGCTGATATACTTATCAGTTTTTGATGATTATAATTTATGGCGTATAAGAATATAATTCAAAAAGGATTCGATGAAAGGAAATCCGCCCTTGGAGGTGCTTGGTTGAAGTGAAATTTCAGCAGAATATTCCGACCAGTGATGGAGTTCTCGTTTGAAAATTGCTATCAAAAATGAATTATCTAAACATTTTTAGGGCTTCCGGCTGAAACTTGAATATGAATTCGTTTAGTCAAGTTTCTTTGCACTTGCGAGAGCAAGTGTTTTTTTTATTGGGTAGTAGACTTATTTACCGTAAAGAACTTTGCTCTCAGGACTCATCTCCTTAGGCCTGGCGGTGGGATCCCAACACCTGTTGACAATCAGACATATTTTCAGCTAAATTGCATTTTAAATGCCCGTTCTTCTCGAAGTTTGTTCATTAGGTGTCAATGAACGTAGTGAAGTCTCTAATGTAGATCGTTTTTTTGTTTGCAGAGGAATTTTGTATGTAGAAGAATACAATTGGGTTGATTTTAGCCAAAAAGTGATAAGAAATTTTGCTTAGAGTGTAACAGAATTTTCATGGTGCAATTTGTTTTGCGAAATTCGGGCCCAAATTTTTAGCACAGACTTTTTTAATCAAATAAAAATAACACTAAAACTACGAAATCAATTACTGTCAAAGTTATATCATAGTGAGCCTCTAACGTGGCCCAACAAAATTTAACAAGAGTATAGTCTCCAAAAAGTTGCGCGAGACGTTTAAAAAAATGTTTTTGAATAAATTATAGGTTGTTTTTTAGTAAAAACGACTTTTTTTGGCTATCAAACGAAAATAAATAAGTTTTTTCAATGTTTTGTAGACTTTACTCTTCTTAACTCTTGTTGGGCCTCGTAAGAGACTCACTTTTATATAGTTTGGTTTTAATTGATTCCGTAGTTTAGGTGTAGTTTTTAATTGACTAAAAAGTCTAAAATGATCCAATTTGGGGTAAAATTTTGGGCCCGAGTTTTGCAAAACAAATTGCACCATAATTATTCTGCAAAAATTCTAAGCAAGCTTTATCCTCATCTATTTTTGTCTAAAGTTAACCCAATTTGAGAAAAACGCGTTTTAAATTTCAACCGTTTCAAAGTCCGGTTATTTTAAATCAGCACTGTGGTCTTTTAAGTTGTTTTGTTCATGCTTAACTTTGATTTCATGCGATTTGGCTTTTGGTTTGTTTTATCGTTCAACTCAAGTTTGCTTGCTAAAAGAAGGCAAATCACACTATCCTATAATGAAAATGCAAATGACGACAATAAACGTGATTAATTTAGGTTTCGAAAAAAAAAAGATTTGCGTTTTGACTTTTTCCAGCTAAATAAATTGTAAACGCAGTTAATTTTAAGTGTCACGACTCTGGTTAACTCGCTATATTTCATTATTCGATTCTTCAATGTCGAAGTCTTAGATTTCGTTCTTGATATTTGTTTTTATTTTCACGGTTTTTGAATTTAAATTTAAACAGCTTTTCCGTTATTTTTTAAAGTTGGTGAACGTAGTGTAGACTAATATATATGTCATGATGAACTCTTGAAATTTGTTCCAGCTCAAATTTAATTTTTCGCGGTTTGACTTTGTTTTTTTTTCTAAGTTCAGTTCATTTCCTTTGTTAAAAGAAAGGCATACTCCTCTATCGAAAAACGTGATTTACTTGTAATTTCGAAAGTGGATTTTAGTTTCGAGATTTACAGCGGAATCAAAGTCTTACCTAACGATGCAATTTTCTCAAAATAAGCTAAATTTTATCAAAAGTGTAAGCCATAAGCTGTTCTTGAAACGCAAAGAACTTCATGGCAATATTTTTTTTGCTTTGAATATCAAAGTTTGAAGTTTTTCTAAACATACTGTTTTTTTTTGTTTCCTTGCGTTAATTGACTCTTTCTCAAGTTTATGTTGGCTATGTTCAACTTTCTGGTGGCTATACTAGTAAATATTGATAATGCTCAATCTGAAGTCCTAATCATAGGCCGCGAAGGATCTTGGTTTTTCTCGAGCGGGGATTTTCAAAAACAAATGACAATTTTTTGACCTTGTTTTTAGGTCGACCAAATTGATATTTTGAGCCTAAATAACTATAAAGACTCTCTTTTGCCCAAATTATCTGCGCCGTATGCAACGTTATGGAAACAGGCGAAAAAGAGCGATTTTAGGCTCCTAGAAAATGTTCACCAAAAATTGCGTTTTCTCTGCGCGCGCTCTTCAAAATTAGTATATTTTATCGCCCAAGGTGACTTAAGAAAAGTTTTTGCTCGGTCAGCCAAAAGTCGACTTTTTAAAATAGTAACAAAAGGGCTGTTTTCGGTGGGAGGGTTATTGAATCTCTGAGAAGTGGGGGGTTTGGTTTGTCCCTGATTGTATGTATAATGATAGAATTTCGATGATTTTATTTTTTGCTGATGATTTTTCAGCTTTATGGCTGAGCTCTTTCGATATAGTTTCCGAATTGAGTGTGCCACTTTGCATACAATGAATATTTGCAATACTTGGAATCGATAGTTCTTGACAGAAAACTTGGAATCGATTGTTCTTGAGAAATAATTTGTACATGAAAACGTTTTACACCTTATGATTTTTTTGCTTTTATATTCCTACAATCATGTTTTTTTTTTTTGAACATAATGCTGTGTTTTTAAATTATTTTTACTATCACAAGTTGTGCGAAGTTCAGCTTCGCCTGTATTTGAATCTGTAGATAAGATTTTAGATGGTATTTTTGTTATTACACGAATGCAGCTTGTTTTTTTATTCCTACAACCTTGTTTGGTATTTTATGAACATAATGCTGTGTTTATAATATACTTTTACTATCACAAGTTGTGCGAAGTTCAGCTTCGCCTCTGTGTTTGAATCTGTAGGTAAGAGTTTAGATGGTATCTTTTGTTATTACACGAATGCAGCTTGTGTATTTCTCCTGGTTTGACTTTTTTTTTTAAGTTCAGTTCATTTACTTTGTTAAAAGAGAGGCATACTCCTCTATCGAATAGCAAAAGTGTAATGTTCACGAAAAACGTGATTTACTTGTAATTTCGAAAGTGGATTTTAGTTTCGAGATTTACAGCGGAATCAAAGTCTTACCTAACGATGCAATTTTCTCAAAATAAGCTAAATTTTATCAAAAGTGTAAGCCATAAGCTGTTCTTGAAACGCAAAGAACTTCATGGCAATATGAACGTAGTGAAGTCTCTAATGTAGATCGTTTTTTTGTTTGCAGAGGAATTTTGTATGTAGAAGAATACAATTGGGTTGATTTTAGCCAAAAAGTGATAAGAAATTTTGCTTAGAGTGTAACAGAATTTTCATGGTGCAATTTGTTTTGCGAAATTCGGGCCCAAATTTTTAGCACAGACTTTTTTAATCAAATAAAAATAACACTAAAACTACGAAATCAATTACTGTCAAAGTTATATCACAGTGAGCCTCTAACGTGGCCCAACAAAATTTAACAAGAGTATAGTCTCCAAAAAGTTGCGCGAGACGTTTAAAAAAATGTTTTTGAATAAATTATAGGTTGTTTTTTAGTAAAAACGAGTTTTTTTGGCTATCAAACGAAAATAAATAAGTTTTTTCAATGTTTTGTAGACTTTACTCTTCTTAACTCTTGTTGGGCCTCGTAAGAGACTCACTTTTATATAGTTTGGTTTTAATTGATTCCGTAGTTTAGGTGTAGTTTTTAATTGACTAAAAAGTCTAAAATGATCCAATTTGGGGTAAAATTTTGGGCCCGAGTTTTGCAAAACAACTTGCACCATAATTATTCTGCAAAAAGTCTAAGCAAGCTTTATCCTCATCTATTTTTGTCTAAAGTTAACCCAATTTGAGAAAAACGCGTTTTAAATTTCAACCGTTTCAAAGTCCGGATATTTTAAATCAGCACTGTGGTCTTTTAAGTTGTTTTGTTCATGCTTAACTTTGATTTCTTGCGATTTGGCTTTTGGTTTGTTTTATCGTTCAACTCAAGTTTGCTTGCTAAAAGAAGGCAAATCACACTCCTATAATGAAAATGCAAATGACGACAATAAACGTGATTAATTTAGGTTTCGAAAAAAAAAGATTTGCGTTTTGACTTTTTCCAGCTAAATAAATTGTAAACGCAGTTAATTTTAAGTGTCACGACTCTGGTTAACTCGCTATATTTCATTATTCGATTCTTCAATGTCGAAGTCTTAGATTTCGTTCTTGATATTTGTTTTTATTTTCACGGTTTTTGAATTTAAATTTAAACAGCTTTTCCGTTATTTTTTAAAGTTGGTGAACGTAGTGTAGACTAATATATATGTCATGATGAACTCTTGAAATTTGTTCCAGCTCAAATTTAATTTTTCGCGGTTTGACTTTGTTTTTTTTTCTAAGTTCAGTTCATTTCCTTTGTTAAAAGAAAGGCATACTCCTCTATCGAATAGCAAAAGTGTAATGTTCACGAAAAACGTGATTTACTTGTAATTTCGAAAGTGGATTTTAGTTTCGAGATTTACAGCGGAATCAAAGTCTTACCTAACGATGCAATTTTCTCAAAATAAGCTAAATTTTATCAAAAGTGTAAGCCATAAGCTGTTCTTGAAACGCAAAGAACTTCATGGCAATATTTTTTTTGCTTTGAATATCAAAGTTTGAAGTTTTTCTAAACATACTGTTTTTTTTTGTTTCCTTGCGTTAATTGACTCTTTCTCAAGTTTATGTTGGCTATGTTCAACTTTCTGGTGGCTATACTAGTAAATATTGATAATGCTCAATCTGAAGTCCTAATCATAGGCCGCGAAGGATCTTGGTTTTTCTCGAGCGGGGATTTTCAAAAACAAATGACAATTTTTTGACCTTGTTTTTAGGTCGACCAAATTGATATTT